TAAATCATCATAAACATTTGACATAAATGATTTTGATTTTCTATATCGTAATATATTATGATGACGATCTTTAAAATCAAAACAAATATAATATGAAAAACATTCTCCTGTTGTAACTGTTTTAACTAAATATTGTTGTCGACTTATTTGTTGACAAACATAATATGTTTCTCTTAACCAACCACGATTATTAACTTTAGCTATTTCATAGATATGTGTTGCATTAATGATTGTTTTTGCATTGACATTTGCTGTATTAATCCATTCACCGGTGAAGTTATCTGGAAAAACACATGTTGGTGTTGGTACTTCAGGTATAATTGGTGTAATAATAACTTTTTCCGGACCATCTGTTGGTGAATATAATCGTGAACATTCAGCAAATAAAGATTTAGCAAACCATTGTGGTTGATCTTTTCGTGTTAACATACAACGAAATTTATCATACCAACGTTCTGAACCGACACGTTCATTAGCAATAGCAGTAAATATATCACCTTTTTCATTTATCCAATAACCTAAACATTGATAAAGTGGTTGAGCATCAATTGATGAAACAAGATCACGACAATAACCATATGTCATCCAAAAACGTTCATTAACAACTTCAAATGGTGTTCCAGGATCAGGACATGAAACTAAACGTGAAATTGGATTATCACATATTCCAATACCACCTTCACGAAATTCATATGTAAAATGGAATGTTCCATAAATAGTTGCACGACATTCTTCAGCAGAATAAGTTTTTACTAAATTCAAAAAAAAAAAGAATAAAGAAAATAAATCAATTATAATAACTTACAAAATAATGTATCAAATTCAGATTCTTCATTAATTGTTAAACAAAGATCTTGAAGATTCATTTCATTTGTATAAAATGATGTTACTTCATCACATTCACTTTTTCGTATTTGAAGAATATTTCGTGTTCGATTATAAATTTGATAACATTGATAACAAGATTTTTGTCTAAAAGAAAAACAAAACAAAATTTTCATTTAGATTTTTGATAGAGAAAAAAAAACAAAATATTTCAACTAACTTATCACGATAAATAAGTTCATAATGTTGTTTTGAAATATGTTGAAAAGGTTTTGATCTCCAATTAATTGTATAACATTCTCCAAGTAACTGATTATTGAGAATTGTTATTATATTTGCATTAGCACCGAGACCTGATTGACGACGATAAAAAAGTCGATCAATATTACCATTTTCTTTAAATGATGTATGAGTTTCAAGACCATTTTCATATGAATAATATTCACCTAATATAGGACGATCAAATTTACACCGATTTTGACTATTGACTAATTTTTTTGAAAGAAAA